GATTTGTCTTTATTCCTTTCTTTTTTCTCTACTAACATGGAAGTTTTGCCTTCAATTTCTATTCTTTGAATGCTTACCTTGAATGTTTTTATTTAAGGCTAACCTATAAATGCTAAGTTTATAAGTTTATCTATATAATCACACATTTGGTGCCTGATTAAATTTCACATATGGGCAGGAGTGGAGAAGAGTAGTTTCTGGGACTCCTAGACAAGGGAACCTTGTGCACTGCGGTATCAAAACCCACTGGTGCATCCCTAACAGGAGCTGTAATCAGATCGAGAGAATACAGAAATGTTAAGTGTTGATAGGATTAAAGTAGAGATTTGGGTGAAAACTAGAATGTTTACATGAAGTGACTGGGTCTCTATTTCTCTTTTACCTGAGTGTATTAGGTGGGTGGATATTGCATCTGGCAAAGTTTCCCCTACCTAGTTTTGTGAAACTCCAGGCATATAAATCCACCCTTCAAGCATATTAGTTAGACATGCTAAATGGCAACAAATAAGACTGCCCAAGCCCACACAATATAAAATAAAAACTGGAGTGCTGGTATGGTGAATTTTCTATACCAGAGACCCATGTGGACTGTAAACTGGAGCTTATGGCAAACTGTGTGAATGCCCCGCAGTAATGACTACTGGGACTTTGGACTAGCGAGTTTCATTTGAGGGGCAGTTACTACCTTGCTCTTAGACATTGATTGAAACTGCCCCTGTGACTGAAGTATATAAGTACTCGTATAACCTCACACCCATTAGGATGCTTACTATCAAAGAACCAAAACAAACAAACACCCAGAAAAGAACAGATGTTGCCAAGGACATGGGGAAATTGGAACACTTGTATACTGCTGGTAGTAATGTAAAATGGTGCAGCCACTATGGGAAGCAGTATGGTGGTTTTTCAGGGAAAAAAAAATTATCATATGATCTAGCAATCTACTTCTGGGTATATATGCAAAAGAATTGAAAGTGGGGTCTCTGATATTTGTACACCCATGTTCATAGCAACATTATTCACAAAATAGCCAAGAGGTAGAAGCAACTCAACTGTCCATGCACAGGTGAGTGGATAAACAAAATGTAGTATATATGTACATGTAATATTAGCCTGAAAAAGGAAGGAAATTCTGACACTACCTACAACATGGATGAACCCTGAGGACATTATGCTATGTGAAACACGCCAGTCACAAAAGAGATAAATACTGAGTAACGATTCCACTTATGCGAGTTATCTAAAATGGTCAAGTTCATAGGAAGAGAAAGTAGAGCAATGGTTGCTAGGGACTGGAGGGAGGGGAAAATGAGTTGTTGTTTAATTGGTACAGAGCTACAATTTTGCAAGATGAAAAAATTCCAGGGGTTGGTTGCACAAATATACTTAACACTACTGAACTGTACACTTAAAAATGGTTAACATGGTAGACTTCATATTAAGTGCATTTAACCATAATTTTAAAATTTTTAAATGAATAATCTTTCAACCAGAAATAACACTAATAATTGGGTGAGGTCACAGAAACACACTAATAGGGAGGGGCAGTGCCTAGAACACTTCTATAACAAAATGGAAATGGTTCATAGAGGAATATGCCATCAGAGGAATGCAGAAAGTTACCCTGTAGATTTACAGGCAAGGCAAGTAGACTTTTCCTCCTGGGACTGATTTTGGGACCACATGAGGAGCTGCAAGATTCTCTTCTATTAACAGTGCCCTGCAAACAGTTCTCAACTGACCAACAAGGAGCTGCTTGGTTTATGGATGGCAGTTCCAAGGTAAATGGACAGCATCCTCTTTAGAAGGCTAAAAACTGTTTTTGAGGAGGGTAAAAACAAATCAGTGTGGTTGGCTGAATTACATGCTGTTTTCCCAGCGGTGATTGAAGAACTGAACAATGATACTGACTCATGGATGGTGTCCATTGGCCTGGCCATATGGTCAGGCGGAAAAGCAATGGAACATTTACCAAGGGTATCTAGCACCTGGCTGGCTCAGTAGGTAGAGCATGTAACTCTTGATCTTGGAGTTATGAGTTTGAACTCCATGTTGGGGTAGAGATTACTTAATAAATAAAAGATTTTAAAATAAGAGATATGCCCTTATGAGGCATGGCCCTATTGAAATGACTGAGAATTTGAGGGATGCATTACAGTAGCACATGTTGATGCCCATCGGAAGAACCAATTTGCAGGTTCACAAGGGGCTTGGAATTCACTAGTGGGTAGTCCTGTGTACTTGTCTGATGAGGCTACCTGCATGTATGAAATGCATGGACATTGGAGCACTGCAGATATGCCCTGAATCTAGACATACTCCTCTTGCAGCTCTGGAGCACAAAATGCCATGAACAACTATTCTTTCTGCCAACAAAAGATTACAGATGATATATGGCAAATTCCTTGGGAGAACACAGCTGGCAAGTGAAAATGATTCTGGTAGCCAAGGGGTCTTTTTTTTTTTTTTTTTTTTTAAGATTTTCTTATTTGACAGAGATCACGAGTAGGCAGAGGGAGAGGGAGAGGCAGGCCTCCCGCCGAGCAGAGAGCCCAATGCGATGTGGGGCTCGACCCCAGGACCCTGGGACCACAACCCGAGCCAAAGGCAGAGGCTTTAACCCACTGAGCCATCCAGGCGCTCCCCCCCACACACTTTTTTAAAAAGATTTTATTTAGTAAACAAGTAAGCAGAGTGGCAGGCAGAGGGAGAGAGAGAAGCAGGCTCTCTGCTGAGCAGGGATCCCAATGTGAGGCTTTATCCCATGACCCAGGAATCATGACCAGAGCCTAAGGCAGCTGCGTAACCAACTGAGCCACCCAGGCGCCCTGCCAACGGGTCTTAATAAGAGTAGTTATTGACTTTGAAGTAGACTTTGCTTACCTAGTGGAAGATACAAATATTCAGAGTACAATAAAAGAACCATGACAGAAGAAACTGCACCAGTTTGGATCACCAAGTCATATTTCTTCAGAAGAAGGAACATGCTTTACAGCACATAAACAAGTAGGGAGGTATCCTCCTCACACTAATAGTCTGATAGAGAATTGGAATGGGCAATTAAACATTGTTCATCTGAAACGGGGGGAGATAAAGATGTGAAGGCTGGCTTACACACCTTCATGAGTACGTGCTCACACTCAACATAAGGAAGACAAGGTATTATCCTCACTAAACAGACTACCCCCCCCCGCCCCCGCCCCCGACCCGGGTGGATCTGGGGAAGAGGACTGGAAGAGGATGATGGCATGATTATTCATCTTCCCATGGGAAGATGACTAATGACTACAATTTTTCTTTATTTCCCTTATCACCTCAACTTTCTTTTTCTTACCTAATGGTCACAGGACCAAGGCCGCAGGTATAAGCTCCAGAAGCAGGGATGATTCCTAAGTAAGAAACTATAACTATATTTTAAATCCTTATGTCGGAATTCCCAAGGACCTGATGGAGTATACCTTTACCCTATTTGTGAAAAACCGTGATTAACAGTGAATGCAGCTATGTCTAATAGTAAAAATAGCCCACTCATTCTGTACCTGTATAATCCTACTCTAGGGAGTAGACTGGGGGGAGTACCTGCTAGACAAATAAACAAACAAGTTATGTAATGAGGGAATCTCGAATTCATTAACACTTAGAAAGAGGCTCAAAACAGGAGATGATACTGTCTCTTAGCTGAATTATACCAGATGCCAGAAAGAGTGAAGCTATGTAGTGCTATGGTGCTGAAGCCACACGTGCTTTTGGAAACTGCAGAGATCAAATGGAAGCCTGTGAACATGAGTGGCCTCATCCTGGGAGATACTTTCATACAATATGATGGCCTGGACTGAATGGACTCTAGTAATAGGCTGATATCTTTTGACTTTTATTTTTCAGATTATGTTTATCATAATGAAATATGGTCTTATATCTACATTGTTGGTAAAATTATAATACTGATATTGATGGTCAGATGTATTGGGAAATTGTGTTAGAAGCTTCTTATCTCTACCCACATTGACTCTTCCAAATGCTGCTGTTATCTGTTACATTCAGACAGATATGATTTTTGCTATAAGGGATCCATGAGATCAAAGACTAGGGGGTGGCCTGGGGTATAATAAAAAACATACTTAATCTTTGTCTAAAACCCTTGGAATTTCCTAAGCAATAGAAATGTTTTTTGTTACTCATAAACCCTTTCCACCATATCTGAATTTATGCTAATGGAGTAAATCCTAGAGGGGCCCCTAAATAGCTTCAGGATGGTGGCTGGTCACTAGATGAAAGAGCCATGTGATTAGAGGGTTAGAATGTGACTCTGGAAAGGGGGAAAAGGGCCTGAAGATTGGGTTCAATCACCATGGCCAGTGATTTAATTAATCATGCCCCTGCAGTGAAAGCTCATATGAAAACACTTAACAACAGAGTTCAGGGAACTTCTTGTTTGGTGAACACGTGGATGTGCTGGGACAGTCACTTGCCTAGAGGGCGTAAGGAAGCCGCAGACCTACTCCCTGAATATGCCTTAGGTACCCCTTCATTTGGTTATTTGCATCCTTTATAACAAACGAATCATAAGTATAGCACTTTACTGAGTTCTGTAGGTCTTTCTAGAATTATGGAAACTGAGGGGGTTGTGGGAATTCCTAAATTTGTAGATGGCTAGGAGGCTATTGTAGTAATCAAGGGGAGATGGTGTGTCATTTTCTAACAACAGTTCTCAATTCTTTCACACCAACGGGATATCCTACAACTCAACTAACTTCTGACACTAATTGCCCAGAGTTAGCACAAACCCCATAGCTTAAGGGCTCAGTCGCAACAAAACTGCTGGTTGCACATGGGATCCCCAGGCTACCTGAATTTCTGCCCTGCTAAATTACAATGAAGAGGTCTAACATACATGGTTGTTTTAAGTTCTGACACTCATGGTCTGGCTACTTATTTTGAATTTTTTTTTTTAAGTAGGTTCCACGCCCACTGTGGAGCACAACCCTGAGATCAAGACCTAAGCTGAGATCAAGAGTTGGATGCTCAACTGACTGAGCTACCCAGGTACCCCTCATTTTGAAATATTTTGAAAGTAATAATTATCATACTTGAAATTGCAAAATGGTAATGATTATTTTATGTTTATAGCTATCCCCCAGGTGTCAATGAAAAAGAATGCTAATACTATTTTTCACTCGTTTACAACCTACTGGCAACAAACTATAGCAGATATTAATAATTAATGAAGATGCGAATACTGCTGGACAGGGATGGGTACATCAAAGTAAGGAGAGCCAGGCAAGGGGGTGCAGAGGCATTTCTTACGGAGTATCGCACAGGCTGCAGTATAGGATTTAGTAGGTAGAGAAGCTTCAAGATGGAAAAGAAAAGAAAGAAATCTACTATCAGGGAATGAAGATGACATTTCAAGAAAAAGAAAATCACTCTTCTCTAGTAACAATAATAATCTCTGCAAAGGAAGAGTTGGAGAACAGAAAGGAACTGCCATGAAGGTCCCCATTTCCTTGGGGTAGAAAGGAGAGTCAACTGAATGAGATCCCCATCCTTCCTAATGGGAAGGTCGGGGGACTAGCTCTAGAAGCAGCACCAATACCTGTGGAATGGGACCCTGAATCTGTTTCCAGTATCTCCAGGGACTGACTTCTGGGCCAGCCATCCAGACACATGGAGTGATCCCGTGGCTCTATACTGTGCCACAAGCTCCTTGACACTGAGGAGGGAGCTTCCCAGTCACTCTGCAGCTTGGGCACCACTTTTTTTTTCCCCTTGGTAATTTTTAAAGTTGTGGTAAAAACACATAAAATTTGCCACTTTTAACATTTTTAGGTATATAGTTGAGTAGTTGTGATATTGTGGTTTATTCTATATTTTGGTGTTGGTCCAAGATTTCTGTTTCATAGCTTTTAAAATCCTTGGCATTTCCAGGAGAGTAAGAACAATGGGAGCATCTTTTAATATTTAGTCTTTTGTCATGGATTCCTGAAATAGCTCCAAGACCACAAAGGTGAAAGGAGTGTCCTCCCCATACAACCACACCTAAGTTTATGTTAATGTGCAACTTTTGGAAAGCACCCTAGGATGGTGGCTGGTTGCCAAGGGAACCAACCTCCTGCTTAGAGGGTTGGAACTTCCAGCCCCACCCACCCCCACCTCTCTGGAGAGGATAGAGACTGGAGATTGAGTTCAATCACCAAGGCCAGTATCACACATATATAATGAAGCCTCCACAAAAATCCTGGGTTTGGAGAGCCTCCAGGCTGGTGAATGAGCTGGTGCTAGGGAGAGTAGCAGTCTTGCTCAGGAAGAGCATGTAAGCTCTGCCCCCTTTCCGCATTCCTTGCCCTCAGCATGTCTTCCATCTGGTTGTTTCTGAGTTACATCATTTTGTAACAAACTGGTACTCTAATATGTAAAATGCTTTCCTCAGTTTTGTGAGCCATTCTAACAAATTAATCAAACCTGAAAAGAGGGTCTGGGGAACCTCTGTTTCATAGCTCGTGGATCAGAAGCACAATCTGGTGGGGGGGGGGGGGCAGTGGTACAGGACTGAGCTTTCAACCTGGGATCTGAGGCTCTCTCCAGGTGGATCGTGTCAGAACTGAGTTGAATTGTAGGACAGCCAGCTGGTGTTGGAGAATTGCTGGATGCATACGCATGTGGTGACCAGAAGTGCCAGAAGTAGTGTAGTATTCAGAATATTGCATTTGAAGTAAATGAAAATAAGAGTTTCTCTTGGGGTGCCTGAGTGGCTCAGTGGGTTAAAGCTCTACCTTCAGCTCAGGTCATGATCCCAGGGTCCTGGGGTCAAGCCCCACATCAGGCTCTCTGCTTAGTGGGGAGCTTCCCCCCCACCGCCTCTCTGGGTGTCTGCCTACTTGTGATCACTGTCTGTCCAAAAAATAAATAAAAACCTTAAAAAAGTTTCTCTTTACAGTAGCACTGAGTATATTCACATTGTGAAACCAATAGAATTATTGGTTAGAATTATTTTCTATTCAGTTAGAATTATTTTCATCTAGCAAAACTGAGACTGTACCCATTAACTTCACATTCCCTCCAGCCCCTGGCTACCACCTTTGTACTTTTCAAATCTATTAGTATCCCCTGATTTATTCAAATAATATGACAAAAAAACTGTTTTTTATGTTCCTCTTGTTTCAAAGAAATTTATATTATTTTGGTGAATAACAGGTGTCCATTTTTGGGAAATCCATTTCTGCCCAACTTTAGGATAGTGTCCCCACAGATTGGGATCTCAGCTTTATTATGAGTGGCAAAATTGCCCCAGTGGAAAAGATCTGGGAACACAAAGTAACGCAAGCCCTGCCTTTGTGGCCTCTAAGCGCTGTCCAGGGTCCTGTTTTCTCTGTCTTTGGAGGCCAAGGTTGGGGTCCTTCCTTTCCAAGAACATCCATGCTGTGAACTGCGCACCCCAAGCCAGGTTCTGAGAGCATCTATCTCAGGGACACAAGCTCCAGGAGTGGACTACACAGGCTGCAACTCCTGCTCCCTGCAAGCCTGATCAGGACGGCCCCCGCGCCCTGAGTCACCAAAAGCTACGCCCTCCAACAGTACTGGGCCCCTGTCTCATCTGTGCACTCTGCTCTGCCTTCCCTTACCCTGCTGAGCTTGCCTTCCCTCTCCACAATAGCAGACACTCCGCAGGAATCTCCTGGCCCTTCCAGGCTTCATCCCAGGACCTGAAGGCAGATTCATCGCACTTAGTAATTCACAAAAGCCAACTGGAAATAAGTGCCCTCCTCCCCACCAGAGTTGGAATTCAGGGGCTACAGAGGGATGCAGAGGCTGCAAATCCAGTTGTTTCCTAAAAGCTGGGCATTCCCAAACTGTGGGAGTCACAATTTCACTGAGTTGCTAGTAAGTTGGCAAGTAATACAGCTGCCTTCAGGAGTAGTGGGATATTTTTGCTTTCATTCATTCATTCGTTTGTTTGTTCAGACCCCACACTGGGTGACACTGTGCTGTGGGTTGGAAATAAAACAGTGAAGGAAAGAGCCATAGTTCCTGCCCTTGCTTAACTTACACTGTGTTAATGAAAACAGACGATAAGAAAATCTTTGAGAAGCTGTAGGAAAAAAACACCTATGATCTGTTAGTAAAAGGGGGCGGGCAGTGGTATTTCAGATAACAGTACTTAACCAAATCCTTGACAAGGGATATTTAAACTGCAGTGCAAAGATGGTTGAGTCAGCCCTGTGGAAGAGCCGAGGAGACAGAGCGGATCACCAGTGCAAAGGACTGGTGGTGAAAAACTTGCGACATTCAGGGATTTGAGAAGAAATCACTGTGTTGTTTGGTGAGAAGGGAGAGTGATATATTGGAAAGTGGAACAAAAACACTGCTTTTTGTTATTGTTAAAAATTTATTTTGGAGGGGCGCCTCGGTGGCTCAGTGGGTTAAGCCTCTGCCTTCGGCTCAGGTCATGATCTCGGAGTCCTGGGATCGAGCCCCTCATCGGGCTCTCTGCTCAGCAGGGAGCCTGCTTCCTCCTCTCTCTCTGCCTGCCTCTCTGCCTGCTTGTGATCTATCAAATAAATAAATAAAATCTTAAAAAAATTTATTTTGGAGAGAGTGTATGAGTGTGTGAGTGGCAGGGAGAGGCAGAGAGAAGGAATCTTCAAGCTGAGAACCCAGTGCAGGGCTCAATTCTAGGACCCCTGAAATCATGACTTGAGCCGAAACCAAGAATCAGTCATTTAACTGACCGAGCCACCCAAGTGCCCAAATTATGCTGCCTTTTAAATAAGGAGAATTTGATCCAGACCTCACATGATTCACATACCCTTTCATTTATTCAACAAATACTTATTGGGCACTTCTGATAGGGCAGGCACTGTCCTAGGTATTGAAGATTCTGAGGTGAAGACAAATAGGAAAGAGGGCTGTTTAATTAAACATTTACATCTTTTAAACATCTTTTTAAATGATTATATCTGAAAGACAAAAATATTAACAATATGTGAGTTCATGGTCTTTCTTCTTCCTATTGGTATAATGGAACCTGCTAGTTTCCTCCTTTTAATCTATTCTTAGATCTTATCTTCTGGTAAAGGACCTATGATTAAGAAGGAGTGAAGACAAAAATATTAGAGGGAATGATATGTGCAAAAGGCAGTGGGGACAAAATGATAAGCTGAACACAGTATTCGGTTTGAAATAACATTGTCAATGGTTTACACTGTTTGGGGGTCGAGAGCTGAAACCGAATGTAAAGCAGTAGAGGTGGAAGGAGAGGGAAAAGAGACTTGAAAATAGTTTTCTGTTTTGTTTTTAAAGAAAGCTACTTTGGTGTAGAAGACAGAGTAGAATGCAGTAAGGGAGAAGCCGAGAGACTAGACAGGAAATGATGACCTAAAATAAGCTATACTAATTAGCCTGGAAAGAACATATCTTTTCAATCTAGTTTTCCCTTATCTCTTTCACTCCTAAAGAAGTATACTGGGGTGTCTGGGTGGCTTAGTCATTAAGCATCTGTCTTCGGCTCAGGTCATGATCCCAGAAAGGGTTCTAGGATCAAGCCCTGCATCAGGCTCCCCACTCAGCGGGAAGCCTGCTTCTCCCTCTCCCACTCCCCCTGCTTGTGTTCCCTCTCTCGCCGTCTCTATCAAATAAATAAAGTCTAAAGGAAAAAAAAAGTATATTGACCATGTTAAGGTACCACGTGTTTTTCCCACGCCACTTATTAATTCTCCTGAGACATTGACTGAATATCCTATAAATTCACTCAATTCGGACACTACCTACCTAGAAATAGCATCACATTCCACAGGTTAGTAAGAACGGAGTCCCACAAGACTGCTCCCATATCAGATGCCAATTCAAAGTCCAGGTTGTTAATCTATGCTTTGAACATAAATTACAATCTGTTAGCGACCCCTCTTCCTCAACTATAGGCCCCAACAATTATTTCTTATTGCACTTTCTGAGGTACTGACAATAACTGGAACATTCCAATGGCCAGACCAGAAAACCCCTGATAGTAATGGCATGCCTAGAGGATCACAGTGCTCGCTTTGGCAGCA